GCTTCCGCTCCTGCGGCGCACGGCCGTAAACCCGAGGGGCGCGCGGTACGGCCGGCTGGCGGCCTCGGTGCGCGCACGCGCTTTTGTAGCGCCCCCTGGACCCCGCCTTCCTCGAAGCCTTCCGCGGCGATTTCGCCTCCCGAAGCTGCGATCGCGGGCTCCGTGAGGAGGGTCCTCCCGAGTCTTGGCATGCGGTTCGGCGGGAGGCAGGCAAATCCCCTTTTGGCTGGCGTTTTGGCTGCCGGGGCGGCGGGGCAGTGACGGTTGGACAGGGGTGGGGAAGGGGGCGCAGGCTGGGGGCAGGGGCTGCGGGCACGAGCCGGGTCGGGGCGCAGGGCGCCTTCCACCATTTGCACCGCCTGCCCGCCGCCGTGAATTCCGCTCGGGGAGTTTAATTGGACGCCTCTGTGTCGGGGGCTCTTGGCCAACCGCGAGAGAGCGGCTTTGGAAGAAACGGGCTTTGGTTTTGGGGGATCACAATCTTGTCTTCCTCCCACATGGTGACTTCAGCTCTTGAGCAGCAAACCCGCTCTGCAAACCCGCTCTGCAAAGTGCTCTGTTGGTCGGCGGTGTTTGCTTGTGTGTGATGGGCGGGTCGGTTTCTCCGTTTTGTCTGAAACTGACCCAGGAAATCACCGTGTTAACTAAATGCAGAAGGGTCTGTCCTGTCACCCATTATTCACTTTTGTTTTGGTTTCTGCTCGGCGGTCTTCACCTGTCCTAGAGCTACTTACCTCTAATACCATTCCTACATTTCTTGTATCTGATTTCTTTATGAAAAAACAAAAAAATAATAAAAACCAAACATGTGAAATAAGACAATGTTTAATATCACTCTACTTTTGCTTTCTCTTAATTTCAGACTGTTCAGTAAAACATGAGATCCTTTCCGAGGAAGTCGTTTGGAGGACAGCTGTTTTTATGACAATATTTCCATTTGCTGTTATCATTCTGAAGTTATTCGACTGCAGTTTTTACTGCTCCAGGATCACCCTTTTCTCCGATTTCAGTTTTGTGGGAAAAGTTTGCGGTAAGCTTTGAAAAGTAATATACTAAATGTCTCATTATAAGATATATCTTAAATGCCAAGAGTAAATGATGAATATGGCGGAACTTTGTCTTTTTCCCAGTGTGTACCTTTAAGTGTGTTTAATTGTATATGCAGCCCTCTAATTAACGAGTACAGTAAATGATATTTTGTATATCCAGAAATGCGATAAAGCAATTAAGTATTAACTCAAGTGCAAAATTTTGAGGTTACCGCTTTAAGGAAATAGCAAAGATGGCTACTTTGTTTAAAGATAACATGATATTGTCTTTACTTTAGGTGATGGAGGAGGGATGGGAATGCAATGCAGAGGGAAGTTAGGGAATTTTCCCTTCTAGGAAAGCTTTAGGAATCTGGTATGTCCACGGCTGGTGTAAAACAAGTATAATCCTTTCTGGAAACAAGAGACTAGCTGTTAGATTAGGAATCTTCCGCTGGGTTGTGTTACCCTTGCACCACTAGCAAAGCTCCATCGAAGCACTTAACCCTGTATCACGATTGGTAGGAATTGTCTGCAGCCTGAGAACTGCCTTATTTATTTTTGCATTGCCGATGCCCATGAGAGTGTCTTTCATGATTTGTGTTTGATAATGATGGTTGCACGAATGATCTTTGCTTAATATCTAAGTTTTCTTAGATTTGACTCCTCATAGGAATAATCTTTAAAGAGCTTGGTATGTATTTTAATGTGGTTTATATATCTGTAAAAGAATAATGTAGTAATTAAAATGTTAGACCTGGGAGGCTATTTGGAAGACTCATGTAACATTTAGATTAAAAAGTGATGGGCAGGGGTAAGAGATCAACCAAAGGACTTGTATGCATGCATATGAACATAACCAATGGACACAGACGGGGTGGGGGCGGCCAGGGAGAGGTCAATGGGGGAAAAAGGAGACTTATGTAATGCTTTATTTAAACAATAAAGAATTTAAATAAATAAAAAGTGATGGGCGGCAGGCGTTGGGAATATAGAAATGGGCCTCAGCTCCAGAGATATATTTTAGAATTTGGTAACTAATTGAGAGAGCAAGAAGGATCAGATAGTCCCAGGTTTCTGTCTGACTTGTACAGCAAGAGGATATGGATAACATATGTCAAAATTAAGGATAACGGGAAGAGTGGGTGGCGGAGAGGTAGTGGATTTGGTTTTATATTTGTTGGTTTTGCACTACTTGGGAGGCATCGAGGTAAGGTAGTTATCAAATAGCCTTTGGTAATATAAGTGTAGATTTTAGGATAGAGGTCTGGGCTGAGGTGATTTAAAGATGAGAGAGATGGTATTAGTTCAGAAGAAAGAATACTCTGGAGCCAGACTTGCCTGGGTGTGAATCCTCTGCTCCCACTTGCGCTGTGTGGCCTGGAAAAGTCTCTCTTTTTAAAAAATTTTTAAAAATATTTTTATTTTTATTGATTTCAGAGAGGAAGGGAGAGGGAGAGAGAGATAGAAACATCAATGATGAGAGAGAATCATTGATCGGTTGCCTCCTGCATGCCCCCTACTGGGGATCGAGCCCACAACCCAGGCATGTGCCCCTGACTCGACCCTTCAGTCCACAGGCTGATGTTCTATCCACTGAGCCAAACCAACCAGGGCTGGAAAAGTCTCTTAATTCCCTTTCTTAGCCTCAGTTTCTTCAATAGTAGGGATAACTAAAGAATATAGATTACTTTTTTCAACTCATTCCCACCAGTGTACCAGGTACTGGGACCATATGGGTGAACAAGATAGACATGTCCTCAAGAAACTAAAGTCAGAGATGGACCACCTACTGTCAATCATTTATTCATTTTACAAATATTTGAGTACCTACTATGTGCTAGGCATTGTTATAGGTGTTAGGAAAGAGTGATAGTTAGGCAGGGTCCCTGCTCTTATGGAGCAATCTTTTTAGTGGAAGAAGACAGACAAATACAAAAATAAATAGATAATGATAAGTGCAGGAAGAAATTAAAATGATTGTGATAGACTGTCGGGCTACATTTGACTTAATGATAAGGTGACATTCAAATTGAGGTGAATGTCCGGAAGAAGGCCTAGCTGTCCAGAGATCTAGAAGAGTATTGTAGGCTCCAGGGTAGGGATGGGCTTGGGTTTTATAGGAACAGAAAAGCCAATATATGGTGAGTGAGCCCAGTGGGATAGAAAATAAGGTGGCCACTGAAATTTTCAGTAGGAATGTGGTCATGATTTATATTTAATGTTTCTTTTGATTCCTGAGTGGGAAATTAATTGTAGGGTGGCAACAATAGAAGCATATAGACTGGTTAGGAGGCTTTTCCGTAGGACGGGGTGGTAGTAGCAAAGACAAAAAGATGTAGAATGTTTAAAGGTGTGTTATAGACATGTTTTGCCCTTAGGTATGGACTCCACCAGTAGATATGTTTTGTTTGGCAATAGTGTTTTTATTGAATTTAAATGGGTTTGTGTGGGGCCTGTAATTTCCATTTGAGCTCAGTTCTTAGGGTTCTATTATCTGACAGTATTTATGCCTGAAGGCATTTGAGGTTGAGATTCCTAATGTGTAAGATATACATTGCATGACATAAAATCTGAGATCAGAATCCTGGGTATCCCTAACATAAGAGAAAGAGATGTAGAAGTAGGTAGTACTTTATGATTTTCCTAAAACTCTTAGTTGTGAAGGGAAGGTGAGAGTTAGTGGCAGGAAGTGCAAATAAAGGACGGAAGAATTTTGAACATGTTTATATAAATCAAGAAGAGGAAATAGAAATATCCAACAGAGGAAAATGCTGGGGCATGATCTGAGAGGAGGATACTTATATGATAATTGGTGATAAATTTCCTGTGTATTGACATAGTTTGAAAACATTCATTTAACAAATTTATTGAGGGTCTATTCTGCCCTCAGGGGGCTTACATTCTAATGTGGTCTCACTTTTTAACGATAATCTCTGAAATCAGAAGCTTGATTTTAGAGCAGGGGTCCTCAAACTACGGCCCGCGGGCCACATGCAAATACAAATATTGTATTTGTTCCCGTTTTGTTTTTTTACTTCAAAATAAGATATGTGCAGTGTGCATAGGAATTTGTTCATAGTTTTTTTTTAAACTATAGTCCAGCCCTCCAATGGTCTGAGGGACAGTGAACTGGCCCCCTCTTTCAAAAGTTTGAGGACCCCTGATTTAGAGTTTGCTAGTTTTTTTTATTCCATGTTAGAATGGGTACCCAACTAGTAAACTTTTAAATATATCCTAAAATTATAGGTCTATGCCAGCAGTGTTGTCCTTTCTTTGCTTCTCTACTGGATTAGTTTGTGGTAATTCATATATTTTGCTATAGCAATCCAAGAATAGGTTAAGCTGTGTTGTATCTCATTATTATGTTAATTATAAGATAGTTTGATTTTTTAAAAATGTATTTTTTTATTGATTTCAGAGAGGAAGGGAGAGGGAGAGAGAGATAGAAACATCAATGATGAGAGAGAATCATTGATTGGCTGCCTCCTGCATGCCCACAACCCACTCATGTGCCCTTGATTGGAATCAAACCTGGGACCGTTCAGTCCGCAGGCTGATGCTCTATCCACTGAGCCAAACCGGCTAAGGCGATAGTTTGAATTTTATACCCTCAGCTATAAAGTAGCAAAGTATTCTGAGAATTTACTTCTGAAGACTTCCCTTTTTAGTGCTGTTCCAAAAATAGGATTTAAAAAAATATAGTTTTATTGATTTGAGAGAGGAAGAGAGAGGGGGAGAGAGAGATAAAAACATCAATGATGAGAGACAATCATTGATTGGCTGCCTCCTGCACACCCCACACCTGGGATCGAGCCTGCAACCTAGGTCAACATTCAACCACTGAGCCACGCCAGCCAGGTGGATTTTTCTTAAGATTTATCAGTTTTCTAAGATTTGAGACCTGCATGCTTAATCATTTAAAAAAGTTTTATAGTAATATTTGATTTATAGAAACTTTTATTGTTGCAGGGAGATGGAAGATTTTCGAGGTATAACTGAAGAGTCATTTCCGAGCTTTTTAACCAATTCATTACTTGGTAATAGTGGGATTTTGGAAAATGTAACACTTTCTTCAAATCTTGGCTTGCCTGTTGCTGTTTCAACACTTGCTAGAAATAGATCCAGCACTGATAATAGGTAAGAATGGAACAGGTGATTTTTTTTTAGATCTATAAAGCCTACAATATACTGATACTTCTGTAAAATTTTTCAGCCAAGTTTGAGCTTTTGCTATATCTGAGGTAAATGGCCACATATATGTAAAATTAATATGGAACAAGATAAAACTTACTGTCTCTTTCCCTATTCCATTGCCCTATCAGTGGCGGTGGGCAGGTTTGGGATTGAGTACCAGTGACCTTTGGTCTATTTATTTTTCTGTCCATAGTGTTTTGGCTTTGTGTTAGTTCAGCCTCAATGGTGGCTGGTAATTTGAGTTATATCTCTAAATATGATGTGTACAGTTTGTTCATCTTGTATAATGTATAAAGTTTGCTCATGCTTAAATATCTAACCACTTTTCCTTCCTCATAACCTAACATTTGGTTAAGAGCATCATCTTTACCTTTGAATGAAGGGATTGCATTAACCCTGTAAAATCTCTTTAAGATTTCTGTGACTGTTGTGTAATACATATACACACTTCATTGCTGAGCCATTTCAGTGCTTTGCATATAGGATGATGGTTTACAACACTGGGGCTCTATTTGTTTTACTACCTGGTTGGTTTCACAATCATGCTGGCCTATGTCACGATGAATTTTAAATGTGCATAATTTAATTATTAACAATTAAAAATAGGCATTTTTGTATGTAGGTGTTCTGATATCCAGGCATCTTATTTAGTAGAAGAGAGGTCTTCAGTTCCATCTGAGTCATCTCCTGGTAGCCAGAGTGAAGCTGAACCAAGAGAGAAGTTACAGCTTAGTTTCCAGGATGATGATGATGAGTAAGTTTGTACCTCCATGTTGCTTTCACTGTATTAAAAGTGAGTCTCAGTCTTCTGCAAAATGAAGATGTGATTGTGTCTCACGTTCTTCTCGTGTGAATCTTTTTTTATATTAATCACAAACACTAAGTCTTTTAAAACACTTTCTGATTCCTATAGTAATATATGCTCATTGAAAAAAGGAAATACAGAGAATTATAAGGAAGACAATAAAGTATGAAATCCCACTAACTGAGAATAGTCATTTGTAATTTTTATTTATAGTCTTACAGACTGTTTTCTTTCTTTCTTTTTTTTTGTTGTTGTTAATCCTCACCCGAGGATATTTTTCCATTGATTTTTTTAGGGAGAGTGGAAGAGGGGGGAAAGACAGAAACATCGATGTGAGAGAAACACATCGATTGGTTGCCTCCAACCAGGGCCAGGGCTGAGGAGCCTGCAACCAAGGTACGTGCTTTTTTTTTTTTATATATATATATATATTTTATTGATTTTTTACAGAGAGGAAGGGAGAGGGACAGAGAGTTAGAAACATCGATCAGCTGCCTCCTGCACATCCCCCACTGGGGATGTGCCCGCAACCCAGGTACATGCCCTTGACCGGAATCGAACCTGGGACCTTTCAGTCACAGGCGACGCTCTATCCACTGAGCCAAACCGGTTTCGGCGAGGGTACGGGCTCTTGACTGGAATCGAACCTGGGACCCTTTGGGCCGCAGGCCGACGCTCTACCCACTGAGCAAAACCAGCTAGGGCTCTTTATTTTTTTTTTTTTTTTAATCCTTACCTGAGGATATTTTTCCATTGATTTTTTTAGAGAGAGTGGAAGAGAGAAGGAAAGACAGACAGAAATGTCAATGTGAGAGAAACACATTGATTGGTTGCCTCCTGCATGAGCCTTGACCAGGGCCTAGGCCTGGGAGGAGCCTGCAACCGAGGTATATGCCCTTGACTGGAATTGAACCCGGGACCCTTCAGTCTGCAGGCCAATGCTCTATCCACTGAGCCAAACTGGTTAGGGCCAGACTATTTTCTTTTTTATTTTATTTTCTATTTAAAATTTTTTTATTTTAGACTACTTTTTATGCACATATAAATGTATATATATTTTGTTTTTACAAAATAGGATTAAACTGTACATATTGTTTATAACCTTATAGAAATTAATACATTGTGATTATCTTTCAATTACAATATAGATTTGTGTCGTCATGTTAATGGCTATACCATGTTAGGCATTTAGGTTATTGGAATTTTGCTGTTCTAAATTTAATGAACTTCTTATTTATACATACATTTTTCATACCTCACAAGTTATTTTATTAAGATAAATTCCTAGGATTGAAATTACTGAATTAAGTATTTAATTTTAAAGACTGTTAGAAATGACCACATTGCTTTTTAGAAGATTTGTATCAGTTTACACTCCCACTAGAAGATAAGTGAGACTTCCTACTTCTCTGAGCTGTCCCCAGTATTTGGTAGTACTGTGTTTTTTTTTAAATATATTTTATTGATTTTTCACAGAGAGGAAGGGAGAGAGATAGAGAGTTAGAAACATCGACGAGAGAGAAACATCAATCAGCTGCCTCCTGCACATCTCCTACTGGGGATATGCCCGCAACCCAGGTACATGCCCTTGACCGGAATCGAACCTGGGACCTTTCAGTCCGCAGGCCGACGCTCTATCCACTGAGCCAAACCGGTTTCGGCTGGTAGTACTGTTTTTAATCTTTGATTTTAGAAGCAAAAGAATTTATACACATGACAAATGCATAGAGAAAATTATGGAAGTCTATACATCAAAATATAAATGGTAGATATCTATTGATGGTGATATTATAGGCAGTCTTTTTTTAAATTTTTTAATTTTATTGATTTTTTACAGAGAAGAAGGGAGAGGGATAGAGAGTTAGAAACATCGATGAGTGAGATCGATCAGTTGCCTCCTGCACGCCCCCCAGTGGGGATGTGCCTGCAACCAAGGTACATGCCCTTGACCGGAATCGAACCCGGGACCCTTTTATTTTTATTTATTTATTATTTTTTTAAAATCTTTTTAAAAAAATATATTTTATTGATTTTTTTACAGAGAGGAAGGGAGAGAGATAGTTAGAAACATCGATCAGCTGCCTCCTGCACATCTCCCACTGGGGATGTGCCCGCAACCCAGGTACATGCCCTTGACCGGAATCGAACCCAGGACCCTTCAGTCCGCAGGCCGACGCTCTATCCACTGAGCCAAACCGGTTCGGCATTATAGGCAGTCTTAAAGTTTTCTGTTTGAATTTATAATTATAGATTGAACATTATTTATTTATTTATTTTGAAATGTGTTTTTATTGATTTCAGAGAGGAAGGGAGAGGGAGAGGGAGTTAGAAATATCAATGATGAGAGAGAATCATTGATCGGCTGCCTCCTGCATGCCTCACACTGGGGATCGAGCCACAACCCAGGCACATGCTTTGACCAGGAATTGAACCGTGACCTCCTGGTTCATAGGTCGACGCTCAACCACTGTGCCATGCCAGCCGGACTGGATTGAACATACTTTAATGTTTATTGATTATTTTTATTTTTGTTGTGAATTTCCTTTTGATACCGTTTCGATATAAGCACTTTCTAGATATCAAAGTTGTTAACTTTCTGTATAGTCATCCATTCAATGTGTATTTTTGACTGAGTGCCTGTTATGTGTCAGGTACTTCTCTAGGTATTTAGGAAATACCAGTGAACAAAACAGACATTAAACAAAAAGAAACATAGAAATATACTGATTTTATAGTATGTTAGACGGAAAAATGGTAGAAAAAAAATTAGAACATGATAAGGAGGGTTATTAGGAAGGCTGAAGGGAGCGGTCAGTGTGAGTCTCATTTAAGAGGTTAGGATATGAGCAGAGATTTGAAGGAGGGGGTTAGCCATATGGATATCAGGAGGAAGAGGATTTCAGGTAGAGGTTGCAACCAGCATAAAGCCACTAAGGTAGGAGCATACCCAGTATGTTCAAAGGGCAGGAAGGAGGCTAGAGTGGGTAAGCAAGCACTTTGATTTTGAGACGGAAAACCATTAGAGGTTTCCATGTGAATTATGTTTTAAAACGCTCACTCTGGCCCTAACCGGTTTGGCTCAGTGGACAGAGCATTGGCCTGCGGACTAAAGGGTCCCAGGTTCGATTCCCGTCAAGGGCATGTACCTTGGTTGCAGGCACATCCCCAGGAGGGGGTGTGCAGGAGGCAGCTGATCGATGTTTCTCTCTCATCGATGTTTCAAACTCTATCCCTCTCCCTTTCTCTCTGTAAATAATCAATAAAATATATTTTTTAAAAAAACAAACGCTCACTCTGGCTCCTTTGTTGAGACTAGACTGTTGGGAGTCAAGACTGGAAGCAGTTCCATTAAAGAGGTGGAGAAACTAGGAAGTAAATTAGAGTTGGTAGTTGCCATAGGCACAAAGGGTTAGAATTTGGAATATATGGAAGGGCTATTTTCTCTTCATTTATTCTGGCAGATTCAAGCCTGGCCCTAGATCAGGGGTGGGCAACCTTTTTGTGAGTGCGTGCCAAAACAAGCAAAATCTCTGACTCAAAATTCTTCTGTGTGCCAACCCTAATTTTTTGAGAATATGTTACACCTACTTGATATCTCTTAAGGTGTACATATGTGAAGAACCTTGAAGAAATAATAAAATTCATTCGAGCGACAAAAACACAGTATATGATGATGAAAAATACATTTATTTTTTAATGTATGCATGTACACTGATAGTCCGACAGAAAACTTTATGACTCCGTTTGATATTATCAGTGGCACTTTTGCTGCTGCATCACCGATGACAGAGATTTTACATCAGGTTTATATTTTGTGACCTTCAGAGATATGCACAAGCTACTACTTTCATCCGTCAGGCTACTCCTATTATGAGACTTAACAAAATTTATCACTGAGAACAAAGATTCACAAGCGTATGTGGATGAAACCAAAACACTGGTCGGATCTAGAAAGGCAGGGAGAGTTAAGGCAGAGGCATAGAAATTGCTCTTCCCCTCTCTCGTCAATCCATGTCTATGGTCTTTAAGATAACTTGTTATGTAAAATTACTTATTTATCTAAGATGCACCTACACTGAATTTATCTGAAAAATAAAAAGATCGATATTAAGAAAAAAATTGTAAATGGAAGATTATAAGAGAGGGTTTCGCGTGGCAGCAAAAGTTACTGGCGTGCCATGTTGGCACGCGTGCCAGGGGTTGCCCACCCCTGCCCTAGATACTAGTTGGTCAATTGATAAATTTGTTGCATTTAGAGCAGTGGTTCCCAACCTGTTTTTGGCCATGCCCCACCTAAGCATCTCTAAAATCCTTATGCCCCCCCCCGTGACATATAATTCTTATTCAAAAAGTGAACTCTTATTCACGTGGAGGAAGCCTAAAATGTCATTAACTTGGTCTAAACAGGCTTCCAGAGAACATGGCATCCATGAAAGAGAAAAATAAAAGAACGAAAAGACAGTTGAAGTACTGAGGAAGAAACTACTAGGAAATTGTTAAAAAAAATAATATGAAGTGATATGAAAAAATGGCAAATAAAGTTTTAAGACATAATAGAGAACTAAAATATGTCACAATGAAGGTCACGAAATATACTGTATACAAGGCCCCTAGGACCATAAGAAATGCAAAAAATTCACTGTTAATAACCCATTCTCGAATTGCCCCCCTTAAAAATCAAATTGCCCCCCTGTGGGGCATGTGCCCCATGTTGGGAACCACTGATTGAGAGGCTTCTTGCAGTTCCATCCCTACCCTCCTGCTGGTGCAATGGCTGAGTGAGCTGCACAGACCCAAGAGCTTTTGTAGTAGATTGGGAGGAAAACTACCTTTAAGGAAAAACATTTTCATTCATACATTAAACAACAGAGGTAGATAGAAAGATGGGGATAAGAACAGTGGCAGGGACTAACAGAACACTTTTAAAACATTCAATAATTCAGAAAATCATCTATTTGGCAAATATACCAGTATCCTTTAAGACTGTCTTGTTTTTAGAAAGCTGACTTTTCTCTAGAT